ATAGATGCCTGGGCTCCAGGTCCACTTCTCGTTTTCGCTCGCAAACATCTGTTGCATCGGTAATACTCTTTGCGACCATCCACGGAACTTTTCATATACGCATACTGCCGGATTTCTTTTGTTTTGTCATCCATCACTGTCAGCAAAGAAGCATTGTAACGACTCGACAAGGCACGCTGCATTATCGTAAAACCTTTCAACACGCCCATCTTTCTCCTTAATAAGACTATTTCTATTATTACTTGATAGAATTTAAAATCGCAAGCTTAGAACTGAGTTAATGCACTTTTTGCGTGCAAATCAGAAAACCTTGTTAAAAAACTTACTTCCTTTCCTGTTCGTCATTTGATTCAGCATTTCTATTCTGCAAGAAAAGAAAAAATAAACATTACAAAAACACAGCTGCATATTTGTAGAACGAAATTTGGTTGAAAAAATGAAACATTTTTGCACATCAGAGAATAAAATTAAGTGAGAAATTTAAAACATGACGAGAACAAAGTTTATTTGGAAAACAAAAAACGGAAAGCAAATGTGATTTTTGGAAGTGATGACATGCAAATAACTTACAATATGTCTCAAGCGTCGTGACAGAGTAGGAGCCGAAATTTCAAGTCCTAATTGATCTTTTACAAGCCGACACACTTCATTTAGAGATTTGATTTCACCGTTTAGATATTTTAATAATAATCCATCATATATAAGTCTGTAAGAGCATTAGACAGCCTAAAGTCAGATTGCTACGCAAGAAGTACTTCTTAGTTATACAGTGAAATAAACTATTGATTTACTTTTGTTCCTGCGATCCAAATACGATCCCATGTCCATCCTCCAGAAATGATTCCGAATAATTATTTCGTGGATTACTGAAAATATTGTGTTTGTTCAATGTATCATACCATATTTACCATATTTATTATTTCATTCCGAATGCCAATCATTCCCTTTTGATGGCAGAAACGAAGTTATTTCAAAACAGAAAGTACTTGATAATGATAACAATTGTTGGCGTAGAGGAAAAAAATAATGCAGTGGGAACGAGAACTGTACGAGATGGAGAGACATGTAACAATTGCGAAGTACTGAAAAGGAATGAAGAAACTTACATATGTTCTTCATCTTCTACGTTAACCTCGGAAGTGATCGATTCCTCATCGTCTTTCTTTAGTCTTTCGGTTGTAATCATATCTACTTATATGTCTGAAATAATATACCAATTCGAGAGAATAGAAAAGGAAGCCAGATAACGAAGAAAAATGACCAATTCTTTAAACCTATTTCAAAGTAAACAGGGCTTCAATTATTGTTAACAAATATGCAAGGAATTTATACATGAATTAAAGGATAGAGAAAGACGAGAAACCAAGAAAGCAAAACAAAAATTGACGCGTGGAGAAATAAGGGATCAATATCCTAACTGTTGACATGTTCTAAACAAATGGCTGAGAATCGATGCTTCGAGAAATATCAGAATCTGGAACTCACAAAACAATAAAAACTATTTTCCCTGACCGGTCACCTAATGTTATCCGACATTCCGCTCAATCCATTCACAGTTTGATGCTTTAAAGTTCTTTCTATGTAAAAAGATTACATTGCATGGAAGGTAATCATAAGACGTAAAATGTCTAGTGCAGCTGTAAATTGCTTCATTTCAAATTGTATATTATTAATGATAAGTTTTTCCACATTGTTTAGAGAACTCTACTGCTCTCCAAGAAATGTTACTGAGATCTCATGATGTGTCAAAATCCCGAGAAATACCAGAATCGATGGTTTAAACTACTTGGTTCCTTTATCACTCTGATAGAAATGAATGTTTTTCCGAAATTTTAATAATTGGCGAAAAATAAAGAAAAATAAAAAAAATTGTGAAGAAAGATTTTATCTATATAAGCGCAGATTAAAATTGAGTTACATGCTAAAAAATAAAATGCTAATTCGATTTTCAAATTAAGCTATACGCTCATTTTAATTTTCTTGACAAATGTCACCTTCAATTTCTTCTCAATTCAGTAGGTCCAAAATATAATAATCATTTGAGCATATTCAATCACCAATGGTGTCATTTGTGTTGACATTCCACCGGGACATTTTAGATATCTTCAACAATTCAATATGATGTAAATTTTTTGTTTAGTGATAATAATCGCATTGATATATAGAAGATAGGGCGGGGGAAGAGATGGAAAAGAAGAAAAGATGCAGTTTTGTTTGTAAAAAAATTTTTATTTTCTCTAGTTCATACAGAGAAGTATCGCAAATTAATGTTGTGAATAAAAAAAAAAAAAATTGAAAGGTTTGATAAGTTTAATGGTATGTATGACAATGAGTTGATTACAGTGTACCAATAGAGATAGTAAAAACCTGCTTCTTAACATCGATTCCTTTCCAAAATGACTGATTATTTTGTATGCTTTTAAATAGTCCGCTATTTCAATGACTGATTTCCTTATATGGTGATACTTCATGCCTATCATATCATTCTTTCTCCTTCTCTTTCTTCTTTACTTTTTTCAAGTCATTTTTACTTTTTTTGTTTTCGGAATTTTCATTTTGTATGCTGTTTGAACATCTTTTTATATTGTTAGATTTGAAAAACTATTCGATGATTAATTAGATTTCCTTTTTTTGAATGGAATTTCAACTTTTTCTTATATATTTTAAATTTAATTTAATACGGACATTTCGTCATCACTTTTTTTCTTTTTTCATTGCAAATTTCATAAAAATCTTAATAAGAATAGGAAAAATCAGGGAAAAAATTAAGCCAGATTACTAATTAATTGAAGGAAAAATTTTAATAAAACAGTAACGACAAGTACGTCTAATCGCCAGTTACAGTTTTGGAAAAAAAAAGTGATAAGCAAATTTGCAACTGATAACACTAAAGCTCTCATAATACAAAGTAAATAAGAAATGATGGGCCATTCATTTAAACTAATTTACAACTTATTTTATCCTATCCATTATTTTGTAATAAAATTTAGATGATGTCAACTGTTTGCAGTGCTTACAAGATTTTAATTAACGAGCTTTAGTGTCAACTAGAATAGCTTGGACGTTAATTATTGTCGCCATACTAACGGAATTATTGTAGTGGATCTAAAATGCATACATTATTAATATTACCTGATTAGTTCACGTCACAAATAGCTGTGCGTCATAAATGACATATAGAATTCTCCTGCTACAAACTCATAATATAGTATGCATCCGGTGGTTAATTATTTAGCAGTTTCAAATTCTATTATCTTTTGCCAACTAATACATTAAAGTATCTTCTTGACTTACTTTTGGAAGATATACTTAATTTTACTTCGATTTTTGTTAATACTAACAACTGGAACTTCAATATTTTCAGCATAATATCCGGATACCAAATCTTGCGATAAAGGGTCCTTTCAGTATTTTAAAATTTAGGATGACAAGATCTTTAATTGGTAGTGAAGTAAACTTATCAAAAGGAATCGACCGTTTCATCGTTTTCAATCGTTACACAATATTTTTATGTCTAACCTATGAACTTGTTATACTATCACAGGTCGGCAATGTTATCTATATGATATTTGCTGGTTAGTTAACCCTTCCATTTTTCATTTTTATAAATATTAATTTTCTAATTTAAAAACAAGAGCTACATTAAATCATAAACAATATGAAAGAGATGATGCAATCAATCATTAGCAAAACTGAAAGAAGTTTGATAGGAACAAGAAAGTTTGGTAAATTTTATTTAATTAATTACAACGCTTTTTTCTTTTGCTTCCACTTCAGTTTTCCTTTTTTCCTTGAAACATAAAGTTTACATTTAGTCGAAAACTTGAATAAGAAAGTAAAACTGAAAGTAAAGGAAATGAAGAAAAGGAATATTGAAAATTCAGTAGACTTCATTTAAATAATTTAGTCTAAACTCTCTTTTTTCAAGTTTTCAACTACCATAAACTTTGTATTTTAGAATAAAAAGAGGAAAATCGAAAATAAAGGAAAGGATAAAAGTATTTTTAAGCATTGTCATCTTTGAAAAATGCTGGATAAAAAATAATGAGATACTTTTGGATAAAAATCTTTTGAAACAAAAAATTTTAATTTTAAACAACTGTAGCAGCGTCACCTAATATTATCGGATGTGGCACGACAATTTTTAATAAAAGTTTGGGACAACGTGAAGCATGTGAGCAATATGAAACTTTAATAAAATTTGATAATCATTCTTGCGAGCCGATTCTTGAGTATCAATTTCGATCTGTTGCTGTTGAAGTATGTTTCATTTATCATCCAATTACTTAAAAGTTTCATTTTTATTCTGGACAACTTTGTAAATATCAAAAAAAAAGTGCTTCCTGAAAACAAATTTCAACAATAAAATTTAGTTTAAAATTCTTTCACGACAATAATATGTGGTGGTTTTATAAGTGAATTTGGACATTTGTTTGAAAAAAAAGGCTTGAAATTATGTGAAAAGTCTGAAATTTTGAAATAATTCTTGAGAATCGTAAAATTATCTATTTGGATAATTCAAAGAGGAAATATTCAATTTTTTTTTTCTTTTCTTTATAGTGGAGTTATTTCTGCAGTGAAGCAGTAAAAGTGAAAAATTTGGTATCCTTTCAAATGTTTGGTACTATACTGGGAGGTATTTTGTTTGGACAATTTTCCGATTTGTTTGGACGTCGAAAGGTATAAAAAATTTTAATTAATGATTCGCACAAAAGTAGCAATTGATTCATAGTTAAAAAGAAAATATAGAAAAAAACAGTTTACGAAACTGTCATGTTTTGAGTTAAACATAAACTTTCTGTAAAAAGGATGTTAAATTCTGGTCTGAGATATCTGTTGGTATTATAGTAGTGATGCATATCAATCATAATATCAAAATTCCTCATGCTTTAGTTCAATGTTCTTCTTCTCATTTTATCTTTGTTTTTTTTCTTTGGTCAGGTGTTTCCATCATCAGACAAATGTGACACTAATTTGTTAAAGCTTAAAAGCATAATCAGATCATAGTTAAGCTGTAAAATGCAACAATCAAAACAACTTGCTGATTTGACTAAGTTTAACAATTTGTTTAACTTATTCTATTAATTTAATTTCAACTATTTCAATTGCTCATTTCAGACAATGATTATATGCATAGTATTAACAACCTTATCCGGCATACTATCATCATTTGCTGCTAATCTTCTCGTGTTTGCAATCAGTCGTACTTTTGTCGGTTTCTTTGTTGGCGGCAATGCAATGTCACTTTTAATGTCTTTTTAAAATTTCAATTATTTAAAGAATACAATTCATTTCATTGTTCAAAATCGAATTTTCAAATTCACAATAATAATTTCATAAATGAGAAGCATCAAATGATTGCTGAAAATATTACAAAACTTAAATAAGTTTGCATTGCCAAAACAACCATTCTCATTTATTACTTAATAACTCGGAAGTTAATTTAATAAATGATAAACTTGGGAGGAAAGAATTTTATTAAAAGATATAAAGAAGTCTGGGTATTAATTGAACAGAGAAAGAAAGCTAAATAATTTCAGAAAATGCTAAGAATATTTAAATTTAAATATTGGAATTAGACAGAAAATTTTCCGGAAAACAATAATTATATTAAAAATCTGTCAACTGATCACAATTTTCCGACAAATAACGTTTACTGAATATTGCAGAGTAATGTACGTGTATGTGATTGAGAATATCCCAACAAGTGCTCGAATTAAAGTGAATACGTTTGTCACTTGGTCACCTAATTTCATATTACTTTCTGTGGTTGCTTATTTTACGGGTTCCTGGGATACACTTGCCGTTACAATTAATTTATTGGCTGCACCGTCACTTTTTTGCTTCATGTAAGTTGTTTTTTTGCTTCACGTCAGTTGTTAAATTCGGCTTTACTCTTAAAAAAAAAAAAAAAAAAACTTTAAAAATCATCATTGTCAAATTTTTTTAACTTTTGAAATTTCCACTGAAATTTTGAAGTATTCAGTTTTCTATACGAAAGTCCACGTTGGTTAATGCAAAAAGGTCTGCTAAATGAAGCACGACGAACAATAATAGCAATGAATACTTGGGGACATGGTGCGGAGAAAAAACAATACCGCCATGAGCAAGAAGTGATGGATGCGCTAGAAAATGACCTTACGGTACCGTTAGTTAACCAGTTGAAATATGAGTTCATCATGTTCGAAATGTATGACAAAATAGCAGTAATTTAGGATGGAGAATTAAATGATTGTTAAACTTATTACTGCATCGATTGATGTTAAGCATATTGAAGTTATGCATTAAAAAATTAAATTCTGTTCCCTTTTTTTCTTTCCTCTTCTATTCATTTCCAATAAATTCAACATTTGAAATATTTCATATTTTCATTACCGATTAATAAATGATAAATGAGTTTGAGAAATTAAATTTTAATTCTTCCTTTTTATTTTCCAGGCTAGTCATGAGCTGTTACGACATAAACGATACTATTTTTATCATTTGTTTTACTCATGGAAATTACTTCGTTACAGCATTGTTCTCGCTTTTAGCTGGTAAAGGAAAAAGTATTGTATTGAAGGAATACAATAAGTATTAACGATATTTTCATTTGTTTTAACACATTAAAGATTAAATTTTAAGTGACTACTTTGTCATTTCCATTGAAAATATTATATTTGAATAGGATTTTATTTCATTTTATATATTATAAGAATTATAAATTTAAGTTATACTTAGTATTTTTAAATTTTCATAGTTCGATTACTTCCGAAAATTTTTTAGTTTCACCAATGCCATGGCTTTTTATGGTTTACTGTTTAATTTGGAAAAGATTTCCGGATCATTATACATGAATACGTCCGTACTTGGAGCATTTCGTTATTTACTAAATATTGTGCTGGCAACCGTTGATCATGCCTTCACTTCCGTTGGTCGAAAATTTGTACACACAGTATCAATCATCATTTTTATTGTTATTATTGCATTTGTTGTAGTACTGACGAAAACTGGTATGTATCTTTTTAGTATTTTCTTGATTAATTAATAAATTAAGTTAATTATCGCCTTCTTTCAAGTATTTGGAAAATCCATATTTATAGATATAGAAATCATTTTTTAACAATTATACAAAGTAAACTGAATTCAATTTCATTTACAAATATAATTCAATATTGGATGGATTAACCTTGTTTATACAAAACATTTTCTTCAAAAAAAAAAAAAATGAAGTTATATTTAAAATTTATGAATTGTTTTTCCCAGCAAACAAAACCTTAGCGGTAAGGCTAATAATGCAACAAAAACACTTTTTAAAATATTTCAAATCATATCAGAAATAATTTATTGAAAAAACTGAATTCAGAATTAAACAAAGCGATTGCTTCTATAAAGGTATCAAATCATATTATGCAATTACTTTGTGTTATCAATTTAATGTTCAAAAAAAATATTCAAAACATATTTTAACATCCAACGAATAAATTCGAACTGATAAGGAAGCAAGCATGAAATGATTTATTCTTATCATATTTTATCAACACTTCTTTTTGTTCGAAAGAGTTTTTGTCCCAGCTATTTGAAGAATGTTAATTTGAATAGAACGAATTTTTTGTTTTTAGACCTTACTTTGGACTTCAAAGGACTTATTCGTTTGTTAACCCTAACCGGTATGGGTATAATCTCAATCTTATTCATCGTTAATGCACTATCATGTGCCGAACTTTTCCCTACAGCTATTCGCAATTTAGCTGGCGCTAATATTGCCACATGGAATCGAATTGGTTGTATCCTTGCGCCACAACTTATTTATTTGGTATCTCTTCTCCTTTCTTAGACAATTTGTTCATTTTGTGCCAGCTCTTTGCGCCATAAAGTTTTTTAAGTTTTTTGGCCGATAATTTATAATATTATTGTTGATAGATTCAATTTAATTTCTAAAACTATATACTGTAATTTGGAATTTAATAATAGAATTGTAATTGGATTGTAAGCAGAGATTCGCATTACGGTAACTTGACATCTGAATTTTTCCAATTCTAATTTCCTGTCGCGAAATGACTGGTGATATTAATTATAACAGTTATACAGATAAAATTGAAAATTATGCATAGTAAAGGTATTAAATTAAACTAAGTACCACACTTTTAACCTTTTGTTATCAATGGGATGACAGCTACTGGCTATCATCTAAATCTATTGCTAATCATTCTATCTCTCAATAATAATTGGAAATTCAGGGTGAAATCGAGGAATCCTTACCGCATATAGTTCTCATCGTATTACTCTCCATCGATGCTGTAGCATTCCTGACACTTCTTCCGGAAACAAAATCACGACCGCTTAAAGATCGAATGCCACCTAAAGAAAAATTAATTTTGAGAAATTGTAAAACAACTCGTACATTGAGCATACCAAATGATAATGACGATAATGATAATCTTAGTTGTTTAATGAATGGGTAAATACTCAGTGCAGTTGCTTAATTAATTATCAGCTGTAGAATAGCAGGTATGATAGCTTAATGACGAAATCACTTAGAGTGATAAAATAACTTAGTATAAGCATGCATTGATAAATTAAATGTAAGCATATGATGGAATCATCTTCCAGAAGATAATTAGCAATATATGGTATATATAGTTCAATGAACAATTGTCATGAATGGAATCAAAAATTAATTAAAATTAGAAAGATATTTAATCAGTAAAAATCGGTGACAGGCGAATATTAAGAAAGTTTTGTTTGTCGACTTTCATGGCCATGTACTTATTGATAAAATAATAATATTTGACGATGTATTTGCCGGATATTCATATTGCAGTACTTCATTATCGATTGTTTTCGAATTTGTTGTGAACTAACCGAATTTAATTTTCGATTTAATTAAATTTCAAACAATTGGCTTAAGCTTTGCAACAGTGATTGATGTGAATGTTGTTAAAGCAAATAAACATTTTTGAAGATGGCTTGCGAAATCTTTTAAATATTCATTGATGTTTAAATGGAATAATCGATAATGCATTATTTCGTGCTCTCGTCATTAATTCTTCCTTTCCAAATCACTGTAAATTAATTAATAAAACGAGTTTTAGTGATAGTAAATAAGCGCAACTGTGTGATTAATGGAAGAAGAGAGATAAAAAATTGAAACTAATCTTTATGATCTTTCATAGGAATGATTAATCAGTCACTATTTAAGATATTAATTAATTTCTTTTTTTCTTAATAGTTCCCATAAATTTTGCCGGGAAAATAATTGCTTTTTACAATTAAAGATATTTTTTTCTATTTTTTCAACAAATTTATCAACATTTAAACAAAAGAAAAAATGAAAGGGTCCAAAGAAGGAAATGATAAAGCATAAAAAAAATCAATTACATATCCAATTATCGTTGCACTAGCCAATGAATCATTTCGAAAAGGATGGTACTAGAATTGATTAAGTTATTAAATTATATCAATTTAACTAAATTTAAAAGGTTAAAGTTAAAGATTAAATTACAATTTGTTATCGAACTTCGCATTCTAAATTTACAAAAGCTGAGAGGAATGATTTTTTTCTCGTTTTTTTTCTCAACTTTAATGTTCAAAACGCATTTGTACAAAAAAAAAAGAATGACCACAACTTTGTGTAAATGCTATGAGTAAAATTTTTATCGCATATAAAATGAATTGCTATAAATCAATTCTATATTTCATACCAAATGAACTATCTCATTCTAATTAATCCACAAACTAACTGACTAATCGTTATAAACCATTCTATTTTACGATGCGTTACTTTGAAGAAATTCAATTACTGTAGTTTGAAATGTATTACACGGTATTCACACATTTGATTTGAAATCTAATCAAGCACCAAATTCACATTTAAACTAATTTCCAAGTTAGTTTTATTCTAATTTTTATGTTTCACCTGATCCAGAATCAATGAATCATCCCAATGTGTCATCACTGCCAGGATAGCATCGCATATTTTCAATAATTGCTATTCCGGACGAAGTAGGAAAAACAACAACAAACTACTGTTAGAAGAACAACTAACAACAACAACAACAACAACAACAACAAACAACAACAACAA